AAGGAAGATTAACGACAAAGCCAGGAAATTAAAGCACAGATCATTCCGTGATGGACAGTCCAGGGGGGGAGAAGGGGAGCATGAACTTGGCACAGATGCCTGGATCCAGGAGCTTGAAGCCCTACGGCCTCAAACAGCAGAGAGCCGGGCACTCAGGCTCGGAGCCACATCCCACGTCTCCTTCCTGAAACAACCCAAGACCCGAGAAGCCTGTGCGCTCCTGTCACTGCACTGGGTCATCTTGTCGCTCTCATGCCTGAGGATGGTGTGGCAGAGAGCACGTCACCACCTCCTGCCTTTGTTTTTCCTGTAGATCAGCAGGAGTCTCCATGGAAAGACCTGAGCCGTGAGCACCAGAGGAGCACAGCCAGCCCCGCCCCCCACCAGGAAGTCGCTGCATTGGAGCAAGAAATGTAATGACTTGCCAGATACTTGGTCACTGGCTCACAGACCCATCCACAGGGATACACTGCAAGATGCTCCTCCCTCTCCAGGGGTCAGAGAAATGGGTTGTGACCAGGCTGCCTGTTGGGACAGTAGGGATAGTCTCAGCCAACAGAGAAGTAAACTACAGCCCTGCCCGAGCCCCGGGAATCCACTCAGGGCCCTACAGGAACGTACTTAAGGCCATGGACTAACTCTTAGGCCAGGAGCTCCCATGCAGAGATGGCCCCTGCAAGTCACAGTGACAACAGGCCCATTAGTGGCTCTGCATGGGGGCAGTCACAGGGACTCAGGGTGGACAAACCTTCAGCTGTCCTCTTGTATAATGGGCAGGGTCATGGGCCTGGGAGTTTTCTTCCAGGGAACAAGGTCACTTCTGCACTCGGGTGAGTCCCAGGTGCCCCATGTCTGATCTGCTGGACCTAGGCCATCCTGGTCCAGATTTACTGTAATACCGAATCATCACATGAGCCTCCTCCAGCACTTGCTCCTGTTTTGCAGGAACAGCTCTGAAAATCATGTAAACAGTGTCTTGTATCACAAAATTATCCAAATATCCAGGGTGTTTACTATGAGCCATGATTTTACGTGTGTCTAACAACTGGAATTTCTGGAGTGGGTCTACTTTTTTTTAATGTAGGAGTACTGCTATTTATTCAGTCACTGATTAGCTGATTGAATTGTGCATGAACTCCACCTTACTTTCTTTCATTTTTTTTACAATTTTATTTATTGAATCACCATGAGAAGTTACAAAGCTTTCGGGTTTAAGTCTCGGTCATACAATGAAACACCCGTACCTTCACCACTGCCCATTCTCCACCACCAAAAACCCCAGTATACCCCCATCCCACACCCTCCCCCTACCTGTGGGGCAGATGATTTTCACATTACTCTACTTTGATCACATTCAATATTTCGACACCAGACCCACCATTATTATTTGAGATTTTACCCCAACACTCGCAATAGCACAGCAGTAGGGCATTTGTCTTGCACGCAGCCAACATGGCCGACCCGAGTTCGATTCCTCCACCCCTCTCAGAGAGCCCGGCAAGATACTGAGAGTATCTCGCCCGCACGGCAGAGCCTGGCAAGCTCCCCGTGACGTATTCAATATGCCAGACACAGTAACAACAAAGTCTCCAATGGAGACGTTACTGGGCCCGCTCGAGCAAATCGACGATCAACGGGAGGGCCTTTACTTTACTTTACTTACCCCAACACTCAGATCTGCTGAAAAGGCAACAGTAGACAATTTGTGTTCTATTGCTGGTTATGAAAAACATATGACGTCATGTGGCTGCAGTAAGGCCATGTGATTTTGAAATTCTAAAATTTTAACACTTAAATCTGGAGGGATTTCTGGCAAAAGCCACTGGGTTTCGAGATTTGCTCCTGAGTCTCTGGGATCATGGCCGTTGAGCAGCTTGATCAGGAGCCAGAAAGGCCATTTGTGGGTGATGACTTGGGGTCTTGTTGGGGTGGGGAGGACAAGCCCGGCTCCACCCCCATCCCCTGAGGCCCAACAAGTTTCCTCACTGGGGGCCCAAGCCTGACTGTCCAATGGCCGCTGGAGAATGACGGCTACCGAGCCGCCAGGAGGAAGCAGTTGGAAAGACAGCACCCTTTCCTCCCTGGGGTGGCCCAGCAACAGCAACCTACTGCGGGGTCTGGACACATTTCTGCAAAAAGCTGCTGGGTTTCAAGATTTGTTTCTGAGTATCTGGGATCATGGCCGTTAAGCAGCTTGATCAGGAGCCAGAAAGGCCGTTCGCGGACGATGACTTGGGGTCTCATTGGGGTGGGGAGGACAGGCCCGTCTCCACCCCTATTCTGTGAGCCCCCAAATGTCTCATCACTGCGGGCCTAGACCTGACTGTCCAATGGCCTCTGGAGAATGACGGCCACTGAGCCGCCAGGGGGGAACAGGCAGAGGGACAACACCCTTTCCCCACTGGGATGGCCCGGGAATAGTAACCTACTGCGGGGTACGAATGCAGTTCTGCCAAAAGCCACTGAGCTTCGAGATTTGTTTCGGAGTCTCTGGGGTCAAGGCCGTTAAGCAGCTTGATCTGGAGCCAGAGAGCCCGTTCGTGGGCGATGACTTGGGGTCTCATTGGGGTGGGGAGGACAGGCCCGGTTCCCCCCCCATCCTGTGAGGCCCAACAAGTTTGTCACTGCAGGCCTGAGCCTGACTGTCCAATGGCCTCTGGAGGATGACAGCCACTGATTCGCCAGGGGGGAGTAGGTGGAGTGACAACATCCTTTCCTCCCTGGGGTGGCCGGGTGACAGTAACGTACTGTGGGGTCCGGACACATTTCTGCCAAAAGCTACTGGGTTTTGAGATTTGTTTCTGAATCTCTGGGATCATGACCGTTAAGCATCTTGATCAGGAGTCAGAGAGGCCGTTCATGGGCGATGACTTGGGGTCTTGTTGTGGTGGGGAGGACAGGACCGGCTCCACCCCCATCCTGTGAGGTCCTGTGTGTCTCGTCACTGTGGGCCCAAACCTGACTGTCCAGTGGCCTCTGAAGGATGGTGGCCACTGGGCCACCAGGGGGAACAGGCCAAGGCATGAAACCTATTCCCACCTGGGTTGGCCCAGCACCGGTAACCTACTGCAGGTACCGGGCGCATTTCTGCCACAAGGCTCTGGGTTTCGAGATTTGTTTCTGAGTCTCTGGGATCATGGCCATTAAGCAGTTCAATCAGGAACCAGAGAGGTCATGCCTCCAATTCTATAGCTGAGCCGGAGGTGGTTTGGTGGTGTCTCCCACATACCTAACTTTTGGTCGTTTACATTCTTGGTTAAGCTTTTCCCCAAATTTTTGGGGGCTAGCCAAAGGCACAGCAGCAATTTTGGGGTATCTGGAAGTCTGAAGGCGCCATCAGGCTGCTGATGCGCTCGCCTCACAGGTACAGATTGACCTGCTGGCGGCAACCATACCCCTTTGGTCTACTTTTAAACCATGAATATAATATCTTGTGGATTGGTGTGGTAATACAGCTGATAAAACATTCACCTTGCACTTGACTGACCCAGGTTCAATACACTAGCACATATATGGGCTCCAGACCTCTGACAGAAGTGATCCTTTAGCTCAGAGGTAGGAATAAGCCACAGACAAAGAAGGGTGTTTACCAAAAATACTGCAACGTCAAAAGGTAACTCTAATGAAAGGAAACAAGAACAACAAATACTCAAGTGTGAATTCTGAGGCACCCCTCCCAGGTTGCCAGATGTGAAGAATAGTGAGTCGGTAGGTCCCATAGTATGAGGTGTTTGGTGTTCCGCTCTCCAGAGAAACAAAGACACGGGGACCATAACAACTGATGGCAGATGGACCAGAGCACAGTGAACCTTTAATTCAGAACCGAATAGCATACTTATAGAACATCTGAGGGAGATCGAGGTACAGGACTGCATGTATTGTGATTTACCATTTACAGAGGTCAAGTCACAGGCGCTGGAGCAGTAGTCCAGAGAGGAGGACATTTTCCTTGCACGGGGCAGTTCAGTTTCAATCCCTGCCATCCCATATGGTCATCAGGAACTGCCAGAAGTAACTACTGATTGTGGAGGCAGGAGTAACCACAGAACATCACTGCATGTTAACCAAAAAGCAAAATAAAATGTCACGCCAGAGTCACAACAAAGAATAAGACAGTGGTGAGACTTGACAGCCCTGAGCGAAGTGATTTTATTTTGCCTTTTTATTCAAATTCCTTTTTTTAACTTTTAATTAGTGAGACACCATGAGGCACAGTTGTAGACTTACAAAGTTCTGTGCTTGGGTTTCAAGTATACAATGACCAAATACCCATCCTTCAAACAGTGCACATTTCCCACCACCACGGATCCCTGTATCCCTCCCACCCCCCACGCCCTCATCCCACCCTGCCTCTGTGGCAGGGCATTCCCCTTTGTTCTCTCTCTTATTTTGGGTGTTGTGGTTTGCAAAAGAGGCATTGAGTGGCAATCATGTTTGGTCTATAGTCTACTTTCAGCATGCTTCTCCCATCCTGGGAGGATCCTTGCAACACTCTTTATTTGGTGCTCCATTCTCTATCTGGGCTGCCTTTTCCCCTAGCATGTGTGACTGGCCTCCAAGCCATGAAGCAAAATTCCTGGTACTAATCTTGGCAACTCTTGACCATGACAGCCCTGAGCAAAGGAGATTTTTTTTATTTTATTCATATTCCTCTTAGTTTTCACCAGAAATCTGAAAAGTACATGTTAACATACATATCAAGTTCAAATTCGGGGACCCTGGCATAGACTTTCCCTTATAGACTGACATCACAAAAAGTTTGTTACACATAGCTAGGATTATTACCTCCCTGGCTGCACTTTTGTAGCACAGCATCCCATGGTAGAAAGAAAAAAGACTTTCTGAAAAGGGCCTGTTTTGACATTAAAAATTGTTATTAGGTCATTGAGTTATCTACTATGAATTTTATGATGTTTCCTAAGACCAGAAGGAAACACAAAGACCTTCCCACATTCTTGACATATATAAGATTTCACCCCAGTGTGAACTGCCCGATGTACAATTAGGCCGGAGGCCTGATGAAAGGCCCTCCCACATTCCTTACAAACAAATGGTTTCTCTCCAGTGTGAATTCTCACATGACGAGTAAGGGTTGAGGAAGAAACAAAGGCCTTCCCACACTCCTTACAAATATAAGGTCTCTCCCCAGTGTGCTGTCGCATATGGCGAATGAGGGTTGAGGATTCCACAAAGGCCTTTCCACATACCTTACATCCATAAGGCTTTTCTCCATTGTGAATTCTCATATGCATATTGAGGCTTGAGGAAGAAACAAAGGCCTTTCCACATACCTTACATCCATAAGGCTTCTCTCCATTGTGAATTCTCATATGTCGAGTAAGACCTGAGGATACAACAAAGGCCTTTCCACATTCCTTACAAACATATGGTCTCTCTCCAGTGTGAATTCTCATATGGCAGAGAAGGCTTGAGGATACAACAAAGGCCTTTCCACATACCTTACATCCATAAGGCTTTTCTCCATTGTGAATTCTCATATGCATATTGAGGCTTGAGGAAGAAACAAAGGCCTTTCCACATACCTTACATCCATAAGGCTTCTCTCCATTGTGAATTCTCATATGTTGAGTAAGGCCTGAGGATTCAACAAAGGCCTTCCCACATTCCTTACAAACATATGGTCTCTCTCCAGTGTGAATTCTCATATGGCAGGTAAGTCTTGAGGAATTAACAAAGGCCTTTCCACAAACCTTACATCCATAAGGCTTCTCTCCATTGTGAATTCTCATATGCCGAGTAAGACCTGAGGATTCAACAAAGGCCTTCCCACATTCCTTACAAACATATGGTCTCTCTCCAGTGTGAATTCTCATATGGCAGGTAAGTCTTGAGGAATTAACAAAGGCCTTTCCACAAACCTTACATCCATAAGGCTTCTCTCCATTGTGAATCCTCATATGCACATCAAGGCTTGAGGACACAGAGAAGGCCTTTCCACATAGCTTACATCCATAAGGCTTCTCTCCTTTGTGAATTCTTATATGCCGACTAAGGTTTGAGGAATAAGTAAAGGCCTTCCCACACTCCTTACATATATAAGGCCTCTCTTCAGTATGAGTTTTCATATGCCCGGTGAGGGTTGAGGATCGAGTGAAGGCTTTTCCACGTGCCTTATATTTATGAGGTTTCTCTCCAGTATGAATTTTCCTGTGTCTAGAAAGGTATGAGGAGTAACCAAAGACCTTCCCACATTGCTCACACACATATACTTTCTTTCCAGTATGGATTCTACAATGTTGTAAGAGGTCTGAGGGTTGAGTGAAGGCCTTCGCACAGTCCTTACATGCATGTGGTTTCCCTCCTGTGTGGATGTTCATGTCATCACATTGGGGTGATGCCGGATTCAAACCACGCCCTTGCTGCTGATACTCTTGGGGATTCTGTCCACTGTGGGTTTCTAAGGGAAAATCACAGTCCTGGGAACATGGGAAAGCTCCCCCACATTCCTTACACTGAGACAGGGTCAATCCATGGTGACTTTGCTTGTGGGGCTTTCGGTGTGAAGGACTCGCTGTAAACAGTGCTCCTCTCCCACATTCAAGGGTCTGCTCCAATGTTGGGGTATGTGTCTGTAGACTGAGAATAACAGATTGCGTGAAACTTTTCCCCGGGGAGGGATTCTTCAGAATGAGGTAGCTCTCTCCATTCTGATCACCCTTGGAGGCAATCCTGCTTGCCTTGGCATCCCCATGTGGCTGAGGGCACAAATGCACACTCGAAACTTTTTCACAGTGTGAAGGGTCAGAGACATTCCACTCGGGCTGGCTGCTTCCCTGTAGAACAGCAGAGGATTCCAATTATCGTTCTCTGCCTTAAGTGTCTCCATGTCAAAAGAAATTGATACCTGCAGGTTGATTTCTAACATTTGCAACATACCAATGCAATTCCCGACAAGTGGATGGCAATACCATGGACTAACCTAATGCTTCTGTAAGACACACATGGAAAATTGATGAATGAGGGGCCATTAATTTGTTAAATATTTTTTAACTCGATTAACAGGCAGAAATAACTCCCTCCACAGAACACTGATGCACCAGATTCAAGATAAAACACACTAAATTCTGTGTTCAGTTCTATCTCAATGTGGAGTAAATCCGGGGATGCATTTATTAAGAAAAACTGCATCCAACACTGCTGACACTGACCACAAGGGCCATTGAAAACATCTCACCATAGGCAGGTTCTTTTCAGGGTCAATGCCTTTTTCTGTTCTGTATTTTGTTTTCATTTAGGGTTGGGGTACACCATTCAGTGCTCAGCATTACCAGTAGGTCTCTGTGAAACACATGGCAATGTGGATGGACCAGTTTAAAAGACAAGGTATTTTCACGAATATCATTTGTAGATACTTTCAATCAAATGAAAAAGCAAGGCATATACATGAAACATATTACAATTTTCTTTAGGTTTTGAGCAGAGATGTCAGCACCCAGTTAAGATAAGGGTCCTCAAATTCAAGCATCATACTCCAAATTTTTTTCCAGCCATTCCCGGCCCTGCACTTTAAAAATAACATGCTGGTCCACTGATATTTTCTGTTAGTATTATAAAATTGATTCCAAACTTGCAAATCTTACCGGCTCACTCATACTCGCTGATTGAGTTCCTAAATCCCGAAGCCATGCATTGAGTTCTGAAACGAAACACAATATACAATGTAAGTATTCTTCGAATGGAGGGGCTGGAGCAATAGCACAGTGGGTAAGGCATTTGCCTTGCACACAGTTTACCCGGGTTCGATTCCCAGCATCCCATATGGCCCCTTGAGCACTGCTAGGAGTAATTCCTGAGTGCATGATCCAGGAGTATCCCCTGTGCATTTCTGGGTGTATCACCCCCCGAAAAAAAAAAAGAAAATGAATTCTTCGAATGGGATGGGACATCCTTAAACAGGCAGTACAGCTTGAGGACATCTATTTGGTTCTCACAGTCCAAAGTATCCCACAGAAAAGGGAAGGTCCCTGGAAAGGATTGCTGTGAAAAGCTTAGCAATCCTACAAGACATGCATGCATGCCTCTCTTCGCCGGCCTCAGGGTTCCTCCTTTCAGCCAGGAGATCACCGCAGGCTTCAACCCAGAATGCCCTGAACCTCACAGTTATGGAGCATGGATTAGTGACAAGGAAAATGTGACAAGTAAACCGCATGTATCCATATAAAAATGGAGTAAATTACTGAAAAGGCATGAACAGAATCTTCACATCTGAAATGTTCTAGATTGTGGTTATCCAAGAGCTAAGATCCAGGTCCTAATTTAAGAATAAAATACGGGGCCCATAAAACACCACAAATAGTATAACTGGGGTCTTAAATGTCCAACAGGGGTTTGATCACAGCACAGTACGTAGTATTTTTTTTCTCTAGTTTGAGATCCTCACCTGGGGATACTCAAGGCTTCTCCCTGACTGTGTACTCAAAAATCACCTTTGGTTTTGCTTGAGGATCATTATGGGTTGGTGAGAATAGAATGTATGTCCAGAACTTGCAAGACAAACACCGTGTTCACTGCACTGTCACTATAGGTTCGGCATCACATGCAATGTACTAAGCCTGTGCGAACTGATGCCTGAGTGCAGTAAACCCCAAAGCTTAACAAATCCAAAGATGAACAAAGATGACCAAAGCTCCCAGATGGTTTTTAAAATAAACATAAAAGGATGCAGACAGACAGCACAGCAGGTCAGGCACTGGCCTTCCTCAAAGTCAATTAAAGTTCGATCCTGACATTCAGTAGGGTCTCTCAAGCCATCAGCTGTGATCCCTGACTGCATAATCCAGAGGCAAATCCTGACTCCGGATGAACCAAGAACCACTGAAAGTGCCCACGAGCACTGAAATAGACCAACCTCTGATGGGGTGAGGCCCTAAGAAATACATAAACTGGGTTGGGAGCGATATTACAGCAGGCAGGACACAGACACTGCACACACGTACAGGATTGATCCCCAGCAGCACAGAATGCCCCGGACCACAACCAGGATGAATAACTGAATACACAGCCAGAAATAATCCCTACGTATTTTTAAGTATAACCCCAAACCAAATCAAAACAAAATAAGAGAATGCCCCGCCACAGAGGCAGGGTGGGCAGTGGGCTGGGGGTGGGAGGGATACTGGGATTAGTGGTGGTGGAGAATGGGCACTGGTGGAGGGATGGGTACTCGATCACTGTATAACTGAAACCTAAGCATGAAAATTTGTAAGTCTACAACTGTACCTCGTGGTGTTTCATTAATAAAAATTTTAAAAAATAAAAAAATAAAAATAAAATAATAAAAATAAAAATAAATTAACAGAAATTGTGGGCCTGGTGCAATTGTTCCAGGATTAAGACAGCAACGTTTTACGCTGCCAAGCGTGTTCAAACCTCAGAATCCCATGGCTCCTGAGCACCCCTGGGAGTGTTCCCTTAGCACAGAGACAAGAGGATTCAGGTTGTGCCCCAAATAAAAGCAAAACTCCCAAAAATACTAGATATTATGTGTAGTACAAGAACTGATCAGAGAACTCAGCATTGGCAGGAACCAGAAACTTTTTTGAGGGACCTAAGTGATGGCTTAGCGCATGGGGAGCTTGCCATGCACGGGGCTAACCTGGGTTGATCCCGAACACTCAAGATTCATGCAAACCCACAGAGACTGATTCCTAAGGACAGAGCTTAGAGTAAGCCCTGGGCATCGCCAGGTGAGCACCAACTAGAAAACCAGGGACAGAGCTAGAGAAAGAGCTACTGCATGGCTGTCCTCGCCAGTACAGTCACAACTACTGTTGGAAACACAGTCACGGCCCAGCACAGGGAGCCGACATGGGACTGTCCAGACAAGGTCAGCCCCGCACTGCTCTCACCAATGGCCCACAGGTTCTGGTAGGTCTCCAGCATCACGTCCTTGTAGAGCTTTCTTTGAGAGGCATCCAAGCACATCCACTCTTCTGGGGTGAAGCTCACGGCCACATCAGGGAAGGTCACCGTGCCCTGAACCAGCATACAAAGGGGGCAGGAGTCAGGGTCTGTCCCCACCCTGTACCCTGGGCTGTGAGGCCAGGAACCCAGGGCCCTAGAGGGTCTCAGGGTCTGTCCCATCGGGAGGAACCAGCCTCCACCTGAACTTCTGGCCAACGGGTCCCAACTTCTCTAAGACAGCTGCATCTATGAAAATGTGAGCATCCTCTTCTAGAAGGTTCCTGAAGGTGGCAGACTTGCTTCTGACCCCAGGGAATTCAACCACTGCTCCTATGAGCACTGCAGAGAGTAAAAACTGAGCACACAATCAGTGGGATCCAAATGAGTGACCCTGCTTTCAGCTCAAAACACTAAACATACACCCCTTGTATCCCACAGTCACTTGAGCTGCAAGAGCAAACAGGTCCAGCACACCCGGGGACCCATGATGCACATCAGGCACAGATTCAGGAGGAAGCCCTGAGCATCTCCACTGTGGCACAAAAATAAATACGAAAAGAAACAAAACAGCATGACTGTGTAACAGGACAGTGAGTAGGGCTGGTGATCCCCACCATTCCATAGGGTGCCCTAAGCAGTGCCAGGTACAATGCCAGAGTGCAGAGCCAAGAGTATAATCCCCAGAATCACTGCGTGTGGCTCCGAAAACAAAACAAAATACCCAGACACCAGCCTTTGATGCCCAGCACCCCATTTGGTCCCTGAGATATGTCAGGAGTCATCCTTGTGCACCAGTAATCTTTGAGCTACTGTGGTCCTAAAGACAAATACAACAAAACTGACACACGTGGCCTCAGACAGTAGAGAGCCGGGCACTCCGACAAGGTGGCAGGATCCTTCCTGAAGCAAGTCAGAGACAAGACAGTCCGGGAAGCCTGACGATCCTGTCACTGCATCACCTCATTTTGTCACTCCTACCTGGTGTCGGTGTGTCCGATGGCACCTCACCATCTTCTCCTGGCTGTTTTTCCAGAGGATCAGAGACCTGGAGGAGAAGCCAAAATTGGGAGCACTGGACAGGAGCAAAATTACCAAGTTCTGACCAGCCACACCCTCGGGCATTGGCTCACAGACCCATCTGGGGGACACTGCCAGATGTTTCTTTCTCCCCAGGAGAAGCAAAATGGGTTGGCAT